AATTGCCTTTGAGGAATTTGCACTGTTCAGAAGTAAGATGGAGTCAGCCTTGTCAGAGGTCACAGGTGGCAAGTCAGGTCTTATCCCATATTTATCAAAAGACCTCAGAGACAGTATCAGTCCTGGGAAATGAGACAAGCTTATTACAGATTCAGGGAGGCCAGGTCATATAGGTCAGGAAAAGAGCCCAGAAAAACACTGGAGGGGCATGCAATAATTATTCCTAAAATGTTGAAGACCAAATAGGTCTTCACATCTGAGATTTAGAAGCCACTTTGATCCAGGATGTCATCAGACACTCCAAACAATGATAGAGTAGGTAAAAAATATTTTGTGTCAATACACTATTTGATTGGTTTCAAACGGAGAAGGTTTGTATTCACCTCTCTTCTTCACCTCTCTTCTTGGTAGAGATAAAAAGTGAAGAGACTTCAAGCCAGTCTTGGATTTAAAGGCCCTCAACAGAAGAATTTAAAAACAATCTTTCTGAATGGAATTGCCCCAGTTGATAGTGCAGATTGTTTGCCCCCCTTATTGGCTCTTTACATTCAATCTCTCCAGTGCATATTTGTACTGCACTGACTTGCCTGGACAACATTCTATTGGTCTCTCAGTGTCACCAGGCTCTCTTGGAGACCATGGGCCCATATTGATTCAAACTTTGGAGAAGTTGGTTGAATTGTCAACTGCCTCAAATGGTAGAAGAGCCAGCTAGTCCCATTAGAGATAATGTTTTTTTGGGTGCAGTTCTAGATACAATAAGAACTGCTGAACAACAAAATGCAACAATTGAAGGCAAAGGTACAGGCAGCGATGTCCAGTTGCCATCTATCAGCAGCACGGTGTTGCAGGCTAATTGAGACGATGATGGCAGTGATGGTCAGATGGGCTCACTGGATCCTCAGGCTATTCCAGGTGGGCTGTGCACACACATGCACACCGCCTATTTCATAGGGCAGTGGGCAATCATCCTGGCATTACAAGTGACAAACATCCTAAAATTGAAGACAGCCGGTCAGGCTTATAAGGTCTTCACCCTGAACATCACAGAGAATACAATGAAGTTGCAACTAGACAACAAGACAGCTGTTTTGTATTTTCATAATGAGGGTGATGGCAACTCCTCTCTGTTGTTGAAGGTGAAACTGTTCATACTGTGCGCACGAAAGAACCTAATGGACTTGACAGCCACTTACATTTTGGACCCTCAGAATTGTTTGGTGGATTACCTGAGCCAGGAAATAATGGACACCCATTAATGGTCCCTGAGACAAGAGGATTTTCTTCAGACATGCAGCCATTGGGGGTTACCAGAACTAGATCGGATGGCTTCTCCATCCAACATGAAGTGCAATCATTTTCTGGCCAGGAGGAGATTTTTTTTCAACAAAGGGAGTAGATGCCCTCCTGTACCAGTGGGATTTCAAGTTGTGGTAGGTTTTCCTCTGAATGCTGTGATATTATTCAGGATACTGAACAGAATCCGATCCTTTCTGGCAGAAGGCCTACAGCTAAGCCTGGACATGGCGAAGAGGGTTAACACCTTCAAAGTTCTAATATATGGGTTATCAGTCTTGGTACATGCTTGGTGTCACACCACCTAATTGTCAATTTGTCAAAGCATGTATGAAGAGTTACCCTTCAAAGAGAGTTCAGTTCCTTCCGTAGGACCTCTCCTGGTTCTAGATGTATTTGCAGATTCCATTTGGCTCAGGACATGATGCTGCCATCCTTCTGAGACATGGATTCAGTGCTTCCACATGCACTAGATGTACACACGGTTGTTAGGGTGTACAACGTCAGGACTGTAACATGGAGACAAGCACCTGTTTGTGATTCCATTTGGCGCTTGAGAGGAGTGTCCGACTTCTGCAAAGCACATTGGTAACCTGGATTGTGAAGGTGATCCAAAAAGCCTATGCCACCAAAGGGCTCTATTTTCCAGCAAGTCTTAAGGCACACTCCACCACAGCATTATCACCATCATGTGCAGCCTGCAAAGGTGTTTCATTAGAGGTCAGCTGCTGGGTGGCAACTTGGGCATCATATGGCACCTTCCTGTCCAGTTATCATGTGGACCCAGCATCTCAGACAATGGTCCATTTCGGGAGAGAGCTTCTCCATTCTACTTTGTGAATGTTTAACAAATATTTTGCTACATCATCCTCTATTGTTTTGTCTCATGTGTAGTGATGGGCCAAACACACCCGAGTTCGGTTCCAGTTCGAACTTTAGAACATGGAAAAAGTTCAAACTCGAACTTCAAACTCAATGAAAGTCTATTGGACCAGAACTCAGAAAATCAAATGTCCCCATTTTTAAGGCTTATATGCAGGTTATTGGCCATAAGAAGTGTATGGGGATTCGGTTACTGCCCTGGGGGACATGTATCAATGAAAGAAACACTTTAAAAAAATACAGTTTTTAAAGGAGTAGTGATTTTAAAATTGCTTAAAGTGTAACAATAAAAATGAAAAATGTCTTCAAATATAGTGCCTGGGGGGTCCCCTTAAACTGCCTGTAAAGTGGCGCATCTGTACAATGTATAGAACCTGTTGCAGCAAAAATGACATTGAAAAAATTACATTTATAACAAACAAAAAAACATAAAAACGTGCGGTTCCCCCTCCCAAACAATACCAGACCCTTTAGATCTGGTAGAATGGTTAGGATGACCCCATTAAAAAAAAAGGGCCATACCAGGCCACATGCCCTCGGCACTGGGAGGGGGCTTTTCCAGGGTCGCCCCTGGAAAATCACCTTGTCTCCGTGCGTGCCAGTGGGGACAAGAACTTCTTCACAACAAGCCCTGGGGCGTTGGTTGTGGGGATGCGGGCAGGGGGCTTATTCACAGCAGGGTACCTATAAATAATTTTTTTTTTAAAACCCGACGCCCGCCGACCCGACCGCTCGCGACGAACTCCCACCGCAGAATGGCATTCTGATAGATGACGGCAAAATATAAATAAATGGGTGGAGCTAGCGGTGACAACCAGCTAGCTCCGCCCAACTGTTTAGATTTGTCCGGCACCTGACAGGACTTAGCTGTGTGAGCCATGATTGGGCAAAGTCATCATTACTTTGCCCAATCATGGCTCTCACAGTGCACTGTGCTGTGAATGGGTAAAGTCTTGCACCTGACCTCTGGTCAGGTACATTGCTTTACCCAATCAGGGCTTCACAAGGCACTGTCCGGTGCGCAGTGCCTTGTGGGGAGCCCTGACAGTTTGTGTGTTCAACGAACATCGAGACCATCCCTACTCATGTGCATGCTGCCATGTTTGTGCCAGAAGAGCTGGAAAATTGTACATAGTGTAGTCAGTCCTAAGGGCCATAAAATATAGAACCATAGAAGTCCCACCCTTGTTTGCAGCTTGCAGTATTGTGACTATAATGGTGCTTAAAAGAAAAATATGGGGTAACTTTTTTTTCCCATAGTTCTATGTTGGGCCATGGAAGGACTCAGTATATAGCTGGCTAATGCCGGCTATACGCTGAGAGCACCGCAGCTGGGGCGGATCCCAACAATACTGTTGAGATCCACTCAGCCACCTGATTGACAGCGAGATCTACCTATCTAGGGGCAGGGTCAGCTATGCCCGCCCCCTCCTACATCCGTCCCTGCAGTCAGTGCTGGAGGATCGGAGAGGGGAGGGGGTCAATCCCTGTGGGGAGTCATCGCTCTCTACAGGGAGATGATCAGGAAGTGAGCGAGCAGCGTTATATTTTCGCTCACTTCCCGATCAATAGAGCCGACGTGCGACAGTTTCAATGTCACACGCCGGCTCTAAGTATGGGAATGAGTGTAATTCACTCACCCCATAGTTCTCCTTTAAACTTATAGTGTAGTCAGTCCTAAGGGCTGAGAAGAGGTGGAGCTTACCCACGTGTATGCTGCCATATTTATGTGCCAGGAAAGGAAAATTACAGATTGGTAAGCATAAACTGTTGTCAACAAGGCAGGAAGTGAAGATACATCTCTTGGATAGAAACAACAAACAGACAGGAGTTCTAATCTTTTCTAAAGCTGGGTATAAACGGTTACAACTTTGTTTTTGGAACTCTCTTTCAATTTTCAAATATTTAAGGTGTCAAATCGATGCTCAAGTTTAAACGAGTTGAGGAAAAAATGAATCGAAGGATCAGGATGGAGACTTTTTCTTGAATGAGCCAAATTCTGATAGTAAATGTGGCTCTTGTTCTGGGAACCTCATTTATTACAAAACCGAATGTAAAAACCAACAAAATTTCAAACGACATTCTTCAAGTCACTGATGGCATTACCAGATGTTCTGACAAGATTTTTCCTATGAACGTTTGTATAAAAATCTACCAGTGTATGGCCAGCTTTCCCTCTTTAAAAAATTAGAAAAACCTTTTCTTTCTCCAATGCCTCTTGTCTATATTCTGCTTCCCTCTTGCTACACCTCCTTTGTTCCCCCCTTTTTTTTGTCACTGAAATTGAGCGTGACCCTCCTAATGCCTGGGGTCTAATCTTTTGAGGCCGTTCACTTTCCCCTTTGTTCCAGACCTGGTTCAATCTCTGACCTGGTTTGCTCCTATAAAGCTTTTTAGCGCTTAGGGGCAACCTGTGATGGCTTTGGGCGGCGTACCCCTCTTTACCTCGTATGTGCTAAGATCAATAGTTACTCAAATTTCTTGTTTTCCGAATTTTACTAGTGTTCTTCTAGTTTTATTTTTTTAAAAATATTTTTATGTTAACAGCATTTTTTGTTTCTATGCCTCTATGTTACCTGCTTTTTTCCCACCTTTAAACCATTATGTTATTCTATATTTTTTATTTGTCATTTAAAATAAAAAATATAGAAAAAAAAGTTTTTGGCTTGACATATACTTTAAACCCCATGCAGTCACCCTTATTAAATATTTTTCTCTCCAGTGGTCCTTTAAATGGCCTAGCCTGATTTAGTCATTTTGTTCCAGATGAAAGTCCTTTTTTGTCACATAAGCAACTTCTACGTAAACAGAGTGGTTGTGTGTTGGCGGGCAGCTTTAATGTAAATAACCAGCTGTTTTGCAATGTCTCCAATCTGATAAAGCATAATAATCCATGTGGATACCTCATCCCAGGGTACTGTGTTTGTGTACTTGTCAGTTGACAGGGGAGGGATGTTTCCTGGAAGTGCCTCTCTCCATTCTGTGCAGCACAGCTCCCCCCAGTCCAACATACTGAACAAGAGGCTGAGCTGAGCTCACAGACTGAGCAGTGTGCAGGCCGGCCTGTACCAGCCTCTGCCTCCTCTCTATAACGGATCATAATGTTACTGAGCGCAGTCTGCCTGATCCTGCTGGCTTCCTCTCTACTGCTGACCACGCTGTCTGAAGGACGAACGTGTAAGTCTTCCTGCACATTCCCTGTATTACCCCTTTTGTCTTTCCCTTTTGTTATATCTTTGTGTTTACTACATACCATGCTGCCCGCTAGGAGCAAAGCTGACCTCACACATCATGACTTTTTTTAGCAATCTGACCGATCGAGGGATAATAAGCCATGTAAGAGGTTAACATATGAGCTGTTTAAAACTTACTTGAGCGTTGGGAGTACTGACAACTGTTCAGGGATTTTCCAACTTGATTCCTTGGAAAAGAGAATGTTCCTTTAGTCACAAATGCGCCAGGATGTGTTATCAGTGTGAATGACGTAAAAATGTCTTTGCGGGCTTGGTGGTATGGCTTTTGGGACATTGATAAGGTACTTTGTAAACACAATTGATGATACATGTGTGTGTGTCTTTGAACACTCTATCATGTGGCTCAATTTTTGCCGGTGATATGACATGACCAATTTCAACATTGGCAGCAATACTTTGGCTATGTAGGATATGTATAAACAACAACTCCAACCTCTTGACGATGATCTTTGATTTTTCAAATTTCCCTGAGAAAAGGCAATGACTGATAAGCGTGCACTCACCAACCGTGGCGTTGTGGGAAATTTGAAAATGGTGGCAGTGATATCTGCTTCACAGCAGTCAATTTGATGAGAGATCTTCCAATCGATGGCCAGCCTCAAAAACATAATTGACTCGACAAAGGGTGAATCATGGGAACGGGAAAAGTTAGAATTTACAAACGTTCAGAAAGGTCTCAGGATGTTTACAGAGTCTCAGGAGCAGTCTCCCGATGGATTAGGGCGATGGAGTGATATATATAAGAGCATTACACTCATCTTAGTGTCTAATCCATACGATTGTGTATCCAGAGATCTAAGTGGATATCCAGCGGAGAGCTTAGACTGTGGCCTGTAAACACTGATCAAGAGTTCATGCCATGAATCCAGTGTGTTCCCTTATTGTTCACCGACATCCTGTTGTTTGTCACAGATGGTTCTCAGTCCAAAACATGTGTTTTACCGGGGACTGGTTCATTTCCTTTGTATTGTCAACAGCTAGCATCATAGGAGGCTTTTGTGCTTTCGTTTGCTGTTTTACTTTTGCATGCCATTAATTATTTGACGTTTTGCAAGCTTTGCAACAGATCTGAGTGCCACTGAGCTTGGTATGGCATACAAAATTAACACGTGGCGGTAAGTACTGGGATATGGAAAAATAACAGGTACAGAAAATATGCATCCTGCTGGAAATGTTCTATTATTCTGAATAGGACCTACAGATCATTTTGTAGGCTAAGTATAACAAGTGGTTTTTTTTCACACATGTGAGTGTGTTAACACATGTATTTTTGTGCATTTAGACCCCATTCACACACGAATCGTCCGGCACGTACAGCTCCATGCTGCGTGCGGGGCCGTACCAAGCAGCTGCCGGGAAGGACGCCCCCCTACGCTCACCTCAGTACGCAGAGGTGCAGATTTTCTGGCCGGGACGCATACAGGATCCATTCCAGCGGCGTATGAATACGATCACCCACACCCCTACCGACCTGCAATTGAGGTGAGCGCACAGGGGCGTACGGCCGCGTAGCCCCATAGAGAAGGACGGGGGCTGCGTACTAATCACACGCAGCACCTGTCCTTCCCGGCAGCTGCTTGGTACGGCCCCGCACGCAGCACAGAGCTGTACGTGCCGGCCGATTCGTGTGTGAATGGGGCCTAAAAGAGAACTATGTGGTAACCTTTTTTTTTCCACAGTTCTCTTAAGGGTCACGGGAGGACATATACTAACGTCCTCCCATGACCCAACATTCAAGATATAGCGGGCTGTTGCTCCCTGTATGCTGAGAGCGCCACAGCCGGGACGGATCCCGACAATACTGTTGAGATCCACCCAGCTGGCTGATTGACAGCAGCTCTGCCTATCTAGACAGAGACCCAGCTATGCCCTTCCCCATCCGTCCATCCCTCCAGCCAGCGCTGGAGGATCGCAGAGGGGAGGGGGGAATCCCTGCGGGGGAGATGATCAGAAAGTGAGTGTGCAACGGTATGTTTTCATTCAGTTCCCGATCAATAGAGCCGACGTGCGACAGTTTCAATGTTGCACATTGACTCTAACTATGGGGATAAGTGTAATTTACTCACCCCATAGCTCTCCTTTAAGGCGTGAGTGCATGGGTTGGCATTACACTTAATCACATAAAAACCTGCATTTGTAGCAATTTGTGCAGTAGAGTATGTGCATAGTGATGTCCTGTAGCATAAGTGCATTGGCAGCTAGTGAACATTGCCCTGGGGTTCCATTCTAAATGACACTGCAATGCTCATAATAATGGTCATTACCATGCAATGTGGTAATGTGTAGTAAAAATGATGTTTTACTACTTGTTACTGCAATACAAAAAAAATAAAAATCTGAGATTGTCCTCACACCATGCTATCACAAATAAGAGCCACAGAACTGCTTATCTGCCAATAATCTTCCCATATATGTGGAACATTACTACTGTGGCTAACTGGTGTCAGATCAGGCCAGAACAATGTAATTTCTCAGTGTATATGGTGATTTTATAGCCCCTGCTTAGCACTGCCAGCAACGTTTATGTCTTCTTAAAGTTTATGCCTGCGTAAGGTTTATGTCTTCCGTTCACACCTCAGCGTTTTGTAGCACGTTTCAAAGTTTTACCAGAAGTGCTTCAAGTTTCAACGATAGAACTTCTATTATAATCAGTTATGATCATTCACACCTAAGCCTAGTGTGGCTTGAAGCTCAATGCTAAAAAAAATGTGGAACTTCTGTTGGGGTAGAGTTGTGAGGTGTAGAGGTGTTCTGTGTTGAGGCCCAAATAGACTCCAATGTAAAAATGTACAAAACACGCATGAAAGTGTAACAATCGGTTAAAAATAATAATAGAACAAATTCAAAAACCTGAAACACATGCTGAAAAAAACACAAGAAAACCATACAGATGCTCAGCTCAAGGCCCCGTTCACATTGAGCGATTTATCGCACGGTAATTCCCGCGATATCGCGGCTATTTACCGCGCGATATCGCGCTCCAATGCTTGGCAATGGGGCAAAGGGTCCTGCTGTCGCGGGTTGTGTGTCGCTACAGCAGGACCCTTTTTGGAGTGCATTTTGCTGCGATTCAAGCTTGCTCAATGCAAGCATTTGCGTGATATCGCGCGACAAATCGCGCGATATCGCGCAAAATGCAAATTGCGCGACAAACGCGCGATTTGCGAACCGCTCAATGTGAACGGGGCCTTAGTGTGAATGGGGCCTAAAAGTAGTGGTAGAAAGGTTTTTTTTTTTTTTAACAGTTAATTCTTGTTCATGGAGCTATGATGTCTTATTACTTAGTAATTAGCAGTGTGTACTTCTATGTACTTCTCATGTGCGCTCTGGACCTGGTACTTTTACAGACTTCTCATGCGCACTCTGTACCTGGTACTCTTATGTACTTCTCATGTAAAATTTGTACCTGGTTCTATTCCCCTCATGTACAGTTTACATCTGACTTAAGTGCACTTGGAAATTTGATAGTAGTGCTTGTGTCAATTCTGCACCCAGTACACTTATTTACTCTGAGACCTCATGTATACTCTGTACCTGGTACATTTGTGCACTCCTGCAGCACTTGGTACTCTTTGGGGCTGATTTACTAAAAGAGTAAATTTTTCACCTAAGTGAAGCTCCATTCACCTCAATCATCCAATCATGTGCAAAGGAAATTCCTATGTTTTTAAAATTCCTCTGCACTTGATAAAGTGTGAAACGTTTCAATTGGCTTTGTGGAAAATTCTCACCATTAGTAAGTCACCGAGGCACTTGCGCGTAATCAGCTTTATTCCAACATGACAGTGAAAATCATAGTCTACACACCCTGTCTAAAGCTGCCCATACACCTTGCGATCATCAGACAAAACTTGTCGTACGATTTTTGTATGGCGGCTCCATCCTGCCCCGATTATCGCAAAGTTGAATCAGCAGTTATTAAAAGAGAGCACCTGGACAAATTGCGGTAATCGACCGCACCTTTTTTCCGTCTGCGCATGAGCAGTGTAAATCGTACAAATTTTTACGTACGGAAACACCACCAACCTTGTGAAAATCGTACGATCGACTGAAGTTTTCTAACCTGCTGGAAAGTCAAAAGTTGTACGATTGTATAGTATTTGCGGTTGTACACTGCCCATTAACCTTACGAATATTGGACGAAAATGCGATCGCATACAAAAATCGGCCGATAATCGTAAGGTGTATGGGAAGCTTAAGTCAGAGCTCACCATATCAGCTTAGGGTGGCTCTCTGAGTATGGCCACCTATATAATAAGAACCTATGAAATACATTCAGTCATCTTTGGCAGCGGCAGCATGGTAACTAACTATAGCGTCATAATTAATATTTTTGGAATCGTTTATTTTATGCAGATTTTTTAGAAGCTCTGCACAATTGCTTGCTAATTGTTACCAATTCTCTACATAATCTTTTACTACCTGCACACTACATAGGAACAGCAGCCAAGTTGGGAAGAAAGTTATGGCGAGTCCCAGAGATGGGACTGGCCATATGGGATGGGGAAGGAAGGGTGTTAGATGTCTTCTGGTCTAATCATTATTATTTTTGTTAACTAAAGAAAACCAGTATTTTTTCATAATGGTTCAAAGTTCATTGTCTCCATGGACAGTGTTATTAATTTGTGGGGGCGGAAAGGGATGTAAGTAGAAGGGGACAGACATGTAGATGAATAAGGAGAAGTGTTAACATTCCTTTCTTAGCTAATAAAGCCCCAAGCTCCTGACAGCTTTCTCTCCCACAGAAGGTCCTTTAGGGTCAGTGTGATGTTAGGTTAATGGAACCGTGAAACCCTCCACTGTAAAACCCAACATGTTTTCACATGTCTTGTCCTGAGGATTACATATACTACTTTGTAAAAATATGTGAATATCTTCTGTTTTATAACGACAACTATATATATTTATTTCAATAATTATTGTAGTAGCTCAGACAAAATTCCACAGTGCTTTAAGAGGAATAATAAACAATTCTAATGCCTCTGACTCAGTTTTCAATGTCAATGAGCACAAGTCCAAAGGTTTGATATCACAAAGCCAGTCATGGATCTATGGATATTTGTTTCATGAAAGGCAGCCCTCTATGTTGGCCATACAGGGTGCATTCTGGTGTGCCAGACAAAGCCATATTTGTTATACAATCACATGACAATCACAAGTATGGGATAACAACATTAAGGGGAGCAGAAAACGTTCTTCCTATTAAAGATGGTAATGAGGGAAATAAAAGACCCAAGTGCCATGATGTATGGTTATATCTATTTAACCTCCTCCACTCCAAATTTTGACAACAGTACAGAAGGCCTGAATGCTAAACACTGTGCTCCATAGAAGTTTTTTTGGCATCACAAAATACAGAGCTTGTCAGGAGACAACCCCCCTCCAGATTATTATCAATCCCCCATAGTAAAAACTCAACATCAACCTTCATAGCAACGTACTTTCCAATCCCTCCATTTTAGTTTGTAAGCTCTCACGGGCAGGGCCCTCCTTAGCATCTTGTCTTGATTTCTATTATAACAGTAATGTCTTCTTTATAATGTAAAGCGCTGTGCAAACTGTTGGCGCTATATAAATCCTGTATAATAATAATAGTAATTATGATAATAAATCAATGTTCCCTTTCTGCTTTTCCTATGGTGCCGTGAACTGAACGAAAAAAATAGAACAGATTCCAGCATCAACATTTCCAGGCGTTAATTGAGGAATCTCCCACTGTCTTGACTGTGGTGACAGCGGCCGCCGGCTCATTGGCTGCCAGCTCTGTTCATTCAGCCAACCAACCAGCCAACCGGCTTCTTCGATTGGTTGATTGATGAATACAATGAAGACAGAGACTGGTTCATGATGAATCGAGGGATGAATGGCTCGTAAGTGCTGACGGAGGAATCTGCTCTATTTTTTTTGTTCATCCCTTAATCCATCAAGAACCGGCTAAAATTCACACAGTGTATGGCCACCTTAAGGCATACACATTCTGTTGCTTGGCAGATCCCCTATATGCTCAGAAGGTGGACCATTGGGACTCTGGTTCTGCACCACTGGGTCAAGGGTAGAAATCTTTGAGGTATCTGTTTATTATTTATAGATAATTTGCTCATGATGAGTAGGCCAGTATATAGTACATGTAAAATTTTACTTTCTCATGCCCTAGTTGAACTAATAGGCCTGCTTGTGTGCCAGTACTATGCCGAATGCCCATCTTACAGTGGGTATGAATGATACGCGCTTGTATAAAGCTGGGTATAGAAGATTTGTATGAATATAACTGCACTCTTCATGAATCTCAATTTACTACTATACTCACCTAAAACAGGGGAATATTATATACAAACTAGAGGAAAGAAAGTTCATAGTGGAGGGCTTTCTATAGTGAATAATCAAGTTTCACATTTTATTTTCTGGGAAAACAAAACAAGAAATTGGATTGGCATGTGTGGGCAAGTTCTCTAGTTTTGAGTAGAGCATTTTTTTCTTTGTTAATGTACGTATGACCAATAGTGTTGGAGGCATTGCCAATACCATGAGGTAGATCAAAAGTGTTTCCTCACCTGCAAAATACTGTCATTAGAGCCAACATCTGATATGTACACAACACCACATGACAATAACCCCATGAGAGAAATATGAGCTGCTACATCTTGCCTGGCTGTTATGCTGATGCTGTTACATTAGTACTTTCTATGCCCCTGACCTGAAACAATTTGGTAGATTTTGACTTTGGCTTTATTTGTTGAATGCTTGTTTCGGGTCAGAGGCTCAGAAAACATAAAATCCATATGATTGGCATCAAAGCCAATCACTTAGGAAATCAGTAATGGCAACTAATATAAATTGATTGATGGTTTGCTCTGCTTTCCACCATCAGCCATTGGGTTTCATCGGGTGCCTTAGACCTGGATTTGTGTACACAGGATGTAGTAAAGATTCTAGACTGTAAGCTCCTCTGGGGCAAGAAATGGCGGGACAGGTTTAATTCTCCCTATAAAAATGCTGCAGAATATGATGGTGCTATATTAAATGAGAACTATGGGGTTAGGGCTTTCCCCCATAGTTCTCCGAAGGGTAACGGGAGGACACAAACTAGCGTCCTCCCGTTACCCAAAGCTCAGTATACCGCGAGCTGCAGCTCGCGGTATACTGAGACGCCGCAGCTGAAACGGATCCTGACAATTATGTCTGGATCCGCCCAGCTGCGTGAGTGACAGCTGGCTCTGCCTATCTAGAGGCAGAGCCAGCTGTACCCGCCCCCTCCCCCATCCGTTCCGCCAGTCAGCGCTGGAGGATCGGACAGGGGAGGGGAGAATCCAGTCACTCCCCTGTCACGGCTCTCTGCAGTGACAGGATCGAGAAGTGAGAGAGCGCCGGTATGTGTTCGCCCACTTCCCGATCTACTGAGCCGACCTGTGACAGTCTCATTGTCACAGGTCGGCTCAGATTATGAGGCTGAGTGAAAAGCACTCACCTCATAATTCTCCTTTTAATAATTAAAGTAAGTATCCAGTCATTTTACCCTCCGGTCACTTGAAGAAATGCAGAAGTACATCCAGCTGGCAGATGACTTGATGATGGAGACTACAACTGCTCAGTGCCCCAAGAAGCACCTGTGTGGTCTGGCCTATTATTATGAAATGCCTGCGGTTTAGGAGAGCCAGCATATTCCCTCTGCAGGCTCCTTTCCCTTCCGGCAATGGCAGCTGCTTCCATAAAGCTCATGTTGTTATTTATCTATTTCCTCTGTATTTTGTTTGGCCGTTAAACCAATTATGTTACAGAGGTATCAAATGATTCCACTTCTGGATAAACAAGAAGAAAAGAGGCAACTGCAGAGGGCAGAATGTTGAGTCAGCACCAGATCATTTGACAGGTTACTCATATAAACAGACACCAAAATAGTTCATGCAGTAGGACAGTGATGTCTAAGACTTCCATTGTTTTGGGCTGCAATTGGTTTTGGTAGATTCATGTCTGCATTCTAAAATATGCTGATGTCTGAAGCATCAGGACTGCCTTAAAGATATGCTATGGGGTAGTACGGATTAGATGCTGGACCCTGCCTTGTCTAGTCAAAGAAGACAGAGAGGACACCCAGAATCAGAAACCCACCTGAATGAAGACTAAGGGGCTAGGCAATCGTCTCAAGAGTCCAAAAACCTTTATTGGCTTCCCAAATGATGACAAGAAGATATAAAGATATGCACAGCCAAAGCGTTTTGGGAGTCAGAAATGGTCTAAAGCAAAGCCCCCAACCCCCCACCCCCTCCCAAACACATTGGCTTTGCATATGTTCTTGTCATCATTTATGAAGCCAGAAAAGTTTTCTTGGACTCTTGCCTGTTGTTCTTTTTAGTCTTTATTCATGTTAAAGAAAATCAGTCATTTTGCCCATTCAAGGTTTTATTGACAGGGCATTCCTCACTCACAATATATTCCCTCCCCGTGCTCCCCTGCCACTCTGTTCACCTCATATATACTTGGGACTTTTGGGTATGACGGAGCATGTGGCTTTTTTCACTTCCTGACAAGATGCAGTGCTCGAACCTGAGTGGCCAATCGCCATGCACCATGCCATAGCCCATATGCTCCCACAGGTTAGAAGAGCACCTGAAGACACAGTGAAGGTATCAGTGGTGGTGGGGGGTGCCCAACCAGGAGAACCTGCCACTTTGTAATAAATGGGCAAAGTATCAGGTTTCCATAAAAGTAAAGCATATTCTGTGACCCACAGACGTCCCTCAAATATTTGCTGGGAGCCGCCAGACCCTGTAAACATCTCTGCTCATAGGCAGAACATGCAGTTTGCAACTCAGTCTGGTTTTTATGATTTGCTGGGAGGATGTGTAGGTAATGAAAGATGCTGGGTAGTACAAAAGTGCACTTACACTTCCTCCTCCATACAAAACTAATTCAGAGATAAATATTTGTTGTCATGCATATCTGATCCATCTCTTTCATCAGCCCATATGGGGCTGAAAACTACACACATACAATAGAAAATGTCTGTTTCTTTTCTGTACAGTTTTATCTCCTCAGTCTGCATCTCAATTTCTCACAAGAAAACGGAGAGCAAATTCATTTTTTGAGGAAAGTAAAGGTGGCGACCTGGAAAGGGAATGTATCGAGGAGCTTTGCAATAAGGAAGAAGCTCGGGAAATATTTGAGAACATCCCTGAAACGGTAAGCAGAGACAATATAATTTGTTTTAAATGTGTGTCCTTTGCTTGCATCTTGCTAACTTTAGTTATTCAGAATTTGCAGCCTGTAAGTCTTACCAAAAAAGGTAAAGTGAGTTTCCTTAAAGCCCCGCCCCCATCCCTGACCCACTTATACTCACCACTTACACTTACAGCACTATGAAGGTGAGTATGGGTAGGTTAGGGGGCCAGTTGTAAAGAACTCCAGGAAAAAAAATTATAATTTACATCATGCACCGGGTGTGTAAATTACCATTAAGAATATGTGTTATGCGTGGAGGGGGGCCTTGCAGCATGCTGTTTCTGGCACATAACGCCCAGCTTCTGGGCACTGAGGGGAGTGAGAGATGCGACTCCGGCAGTGAAGGACTCACATCACCCTTCCCTCTTCACTACTTGCCCATTCACAAAATGTATTTATTTTTATCTTAAACATAGTTACAAGGTGTTTTGTGAATGGAGGAGAGATGATGTCACATCCCTGCACCCTCCAATCACAGAATGCTGTGATTCTTTTCTCTGGCCCCTGTGTCACGATTGCCGGTGCTGGTGGATGGAACCACAGTGCGTAGAGGGGAACCAGACATTGGGGGGTAGGGCTGTTCTTTATAATTGTGACAGTGTCAATTTAATACACATGCCCCCCCCAACCCCTCTCGGGCTGCATCAGTCCAGTATAAAAAAAAATGGTGCTAACTTTCCACCCATCACACTATATTTGAGGTGTACAGATGCAATCTGAAAAAAGCTATATGCAGCCCTTCTGATATCTTACCAAGAAGGACCATAATTACTATCTTGATAAACCTTGTTAGATTTAACCCTTATGAATCTTTCTATTTTTCTAGGAATACTTTTACCCAAGATACTTAGGTAAGTCAATATAAATGTTTCCATATTTGTAGTCAGTTTAGAAATTATGATTGTGTCAAAAGAGTAATCCTGCTGTTGGCTGCCGGCTCTGATTTCTCAAAAATGCTTACATGGGGCACAATGCTCATACGTGTGCGTGTGCGTGTGATATGTGCACTTTATTGCACTCATGCTGTAGTGAACAGGCCCTTTTAGTGCATAAGCAAACAGTCATCAATCTGACCTCAAATGTGGCCTCACTTTCATATGCTAAATTTGGAAATGCCAAAAGTTGGACATCGCACTGTGGCTGAATGTGTGTTTGTGCCCAGCTAAGGCATCAGAAGATTTCTGCAGTTTATGGATTAACCCCTTCATGACGGAGGTTAAAACAAACCTGAACTCTTGAACTCAGTTTTTCAACTTTGACATGTGTGATTAAAACTGTACATATCTTTGCAACTGCTTAGGGCTGATCAGGGCCATCCCTATAATGAGACAGCCTGAGACTTTTGCCTCAGGTGGTATCTTGGGGGGCGGCTGGGTGGCGGGAGGGGCAGCAGGGGGGTGGCCACAGTGTCCCAGGTTGAGCTCTTAGTAGCCTGTGATGCTCTGTGTGGCTTCCCACTCAGCACTGATGTCACCAATTGCCTAGAGCTTAGAGGGACATGCTGAATTGCGTCCCACTGAGCTTCTGGCAACTGGTGATGTCAGTGAGTTAGGCAGACCAAGCTGCTGACAGCGCAGTTCAGCGTCCACCCACGCCCCCCGCATGGCAAGTGACCATTCAGCTCCCCCCAAGACGCCTAATATCTTAGGCACAGCCCTGGGGCTGATGTATAAATATTTAACCCAGCATAAAGTTAGGCAAATGGAAATCTTATGCTCCTGGGCTCCATCTAGTGGTGGTAATGCTGTGCAAATGACATTTGTTTGTTTTTTTCAGGACAAATTGGGCCTCCATTTGGTGGTAAATGTTAATGGATATGTCCATGTTGATTAACATTTTTTTTTTTTAATCAAAGGAAAACCCAAAATAGTATTTTTTTAAAGTGGACCTTTACCCCCTTTCACTAAAAATCCCATCAGCATGCAGCTCTGCATGCTGATATAAAATCATCTTACGTTTATTAGCTAAACAAACATGTTTTTTTACTTACAAATAGAGTTCATCTATTTCCTGGTCCACTTTGGCACAAATGATGTAATATGCCCAAGATTGCATCCTGGGAAGATTACAACATCAGGGCATTGCCGGGAAATCTCATCTGTAACCTCTTGAGATCTCAGGGAAAGGCATTTTCCTTCCCAGAGATGATTTGCATGGTCACATGTCCTAGTCACATGTGCCAGAGTCCTAGGAAGTAAAGGGAGATCTAGTAACCTGCCCTTTGTTAAAATGGCCAATGTGAGAAGACTGGGGAAGAAAAGTGAAATAAGGTAAACAAAGAATAACAAGCCGGCAATTACATTTTGCTTTGAAAATAAAAGAGAGAAGCTCCAGATTCTGTCTGCTCCAGTGTTAATAAATTCCCCTCAATTTACCTCTTTCTTCTCACACAGGAAAAGAGATTAGCTCTTATCATTGTTATAGCCAATAGCTACTGTATCTCAGTGACTATGGGGTCTATTCACGAAGCAGCCACGATTAGCCTCGGCCCCAGGACCCCTTCGGTTCAGTATTCCCTATAGCCCATACAGCTCCCGAAGTGGACCGAGCGGCTCAGACGAGCCGAAGGCATATGCCTCGGCTCGACTGAGCC